TATAAACAAATAAAAGGAGGCTATATAGAAGCTATACAAAAGATGGTGTATAAGGAAACATGTGCACATGACATGTCAGTACACAAGTAATATGTGCAAATTGGTAGTAAACTTGGATTGTGCTATCCTGGTTGGGTCAGATGTGCCTGTGTTAAAGTGGGAAAAAGAAATGTTGGATGTCTGCATGTGTTAATACTTGCAACTAAATGCTAATCATCAACAAAAGTTTCAACTAACATATAAGTTACTTCTTTTTCATATTTATTTGCCTTTATAATTTCAGAGGTTTTTTTCTGAAAATTATCTGAAACAGTATACATAAAATATGCAAATGAAACAAATAAATTTGGACGATGTGCACCTTGGAAAAGAAGTGGCTTGGCTGTGAGCATTGATTTACAAATGTCTTAAAAATGGATGTGATATTTTGTGTGTTCCACTCATTACTTAATAGTAATATAGCAAATATATTCTGAAAAAGTCTGTGTGTTATGACGTTAAAATGGAAAACTACTGAGTTTGGGAAACTGTATTTGAGCCACAGTATTAAATAACCAAGCAACTGAGTAACTGAGCTGGTAAAGTTACCCAGTAGTTGAGTGATTTATTTTCAAACCATTCTTTACTAGCAATCCAAAACAAGAAAGAGCCTTTAACCCCAAATAAATGTGCTCAGAGGGTCCACTCCCTCTTGTATTGTGGGAAAACCTGAGCACATTTATTTGGGGTTAAAGGCTCTTTCTTGTTTTGGATTGCTTAAAGACACATTGCTCCAGGCTCTGTGTACACCCTGCAAACACTTTGAGGTTGACTCGGTAAAACTTAATTTTAGGCAAATAGCTCCAACTGTCTTCAGGAGATATGTGCAAGATACAGGTTTGGCTTGCCACCCTCACTGAGAGCATCACTTTGTTCCGAGGTCCTAGCTGAAGAGGAAAAGGGCAACTCCATAGTCAGGACAGAGACAAACCGAGGACCTCATCATGCTTCCTTGACACGCAGCTTCAAAAATAGCATCAATTCTACATCTCTCTGCTTTTTATTCTTAAAATTTACTAATATCAGTAACATTCACACATGTCTAAAGGAGACAACAGTATTTTGCTGCTGACCCACCTCTTGGTTCTGGCTCTTACATTTGACAATAAATTTTGAAGGTGTAAAATTACCTGAATTCTTAAAAACCGTGGGCAGGCATAAGCTGGTAGAGATGTTACAACTTGGTCGTACATTTTGTCTAAGTCTAAAGACTTGTTTGGTTTTAGAATAATAGAAATCATCCCTGCTTTCCCTTCATAACCTGGGGAAAAGATTGAAATAAAGTCAATGTATTTTAGGTGAATTTCTAAAATCAGTCAGTCCGGTCACATTCTCATTGATACAGAGACACTCAGTCTCCTGCAGAGATAACAATGTAGCAGTAGCATTAAATTGAGTCTGTGTCTTTCCCTGACATATGATGTAATTACTAGAAGTAACTGAACAATAGGGAAGACCAAACTTGATTGTCTGTACTAAAGAAATGAAACCAGTGGGATGGAAACACAATGAATTATGTATAACTTGCATCCCATCAACACAAATATTAAGAAAGAAAGTATTTATTTAGAGGTAACTAGAGCCTAGCAAAAATGTACATTTTAATCACTAGTGGAAAAAAAAAATAAGGGGAATATTTGAAGCTAAGAAAACTGAGTGTTTTGACTCAGGCCACACTGCGTACTGCTGTCATGACTTCTGCAGACCTCAGATAACTGATGCATTTCTCCAGTCCTCGGGGACAGTTTCAGAATTTGTCCCCTCCTTCCTTTGCTGCAAAGCAGACACTTCGTCCCTGGTCACCCTTCCACCCACAGCATTAACAGAGAACACTGCCATTTGCATAAAAGGACACACTTCAATCACAAGTGGTATTATTATTTAACATTTAAAATAGAACATGTTCCTGTTTAGTGAAATGCTCCAACACACGTTGTAACAAGAAAACTGGGCAGCGGTGGCACACGCCTTTAATCCCAGCACTCAGGAGGCAAAGCCAGGGGGATCTCTGTGAGTTTGAGGCCAACCTGGTCTACAGAGCGAGCTCCAGGACAGGCACTAAAACTACATGGAGAGACCCTGTCTCGAAAACAAAAACAAAACAAAAAACAAAAACAAAAACAAAAAAACAAGAAAGTAAAGGTCAGCTTCAGTTGCTTTCAAGCAGTAAGTCTCTGGCCAGATTTTATAGCTCCTGCCTAAAAACATACAAAAACAGAAAATTTATCTGTACCTTTCCTTTAATGTGTCCATAAAATTTCTTAGCTTATTCGAGGGCATTGCTTGCCAAGACAAGATGAAAACATTTAAAAATGTTAATTTTAATATGCAGACTTTTACATATTAAGAAAGTAATATAACCGGAAGAGGACATGCACATTCTCTTTCACAATTCTCAAAATCATCGATACCCACATACCTGGCACAGGCACCCCATACACATTTGCTTCCTGTATGAAGTCCAACCTCCCGATCACATCGGCTACCTCTGTGGTTGCAACATTTTCTCCTTTCCACCTAAAAGACAGACAGATCTGAGGGAGAGAACACAAGCATCTGAAGAGCCAGCTCCCCCTTGTTGTCTTAGTGACTTGCATTTGGCTCTGTGAAGCACCTAGCAGCCCAAAATAACTAGTTTCTAAGCAAAAGCCATTTTGTTCAGAGTTCAGTAAAATCAGCAGCTGTGGTTAGGTTAAAATAACTTAGAGTTTTATTGGTATAAATTGTTCACTTTTAAGTATTTTTTAAATGAGCCATAAAAATAAATGACGATAAGGAGGATATATCAGTACAAAATCACTACTTTGTGCAGTAATAACAATTAAGTTTAAAACTTTATCTTTGGTAGTGGGAATTGAAAGAAATACTATAGTTACCTCAGTATCTTAACCCACTTTAATCTCTAGCTATTGAATCCTTCACTTCTGTTATTTTAATGAACACAATACTATAAGATGAGAATTGGACATTCTACTGACTTACTTCCTATTTATCCATTCATTCAAGCCTTTGCTAGATAATTACTCTATGCTCTTGACTAGTCTATAGTCATTGAATAACAAAGTAAAATAAATTTTTAGGTAGGCTAAGACGAGCTTGAGAAATTAGAAAATAAAATGTAAAAATGGGGAGAGGGGCAGTCTCAGTTTGAAAATCTTTTCCTTATATCAAGAATCATCTCAGGACCAGTGAGACAGCTCAGGGAGTGGAGGCACTTGTGGGGATTCATTCCGCCAATAACCCTGGGGTATCTGGCCTGATAGGAGTATGTGTGTGTGTGTGTGTGTGTGTGTGTGTGTGTGTGTGTGTGTGTGTGTGTGTGTGTATGTGTGTGTTTAACATGACTGCTTAAAGGACTTATAGGACTTAAATGACTGAGGAGGAGGCACTTGTTCTCTCTCTCTCTCTCTCTCTCTCTCTCTCTCTCTCTCTCTCTCTCTCGTCAGAAACCGGACAGGTGGTTCCATTGACACCCCCACCACATGGCAGAATGGAGGATGGCAACAGCTGGCGTATTTCCCCCCATTTTATATCTTAATAAATCCTTGATACCCTTTAACAGACTCTAGTGGATTTGCTTAACAGGCACTTGCCACCAAGCCAGAGTTCAATTCCTGGAACAGACATTGTGGGAGGAGAGAACCAACTCCCCAAAGTCACTCGCATGTGTAGCATGTATTCTCCCCACAACACTAAATAGAGAAATATGAGATAATGAATGTATGAATGAATGACCCAATGGCTTTTCTGTTTAATTGCAGCTTCACACAGTATTTCTTTTTTTACCCTAACACTACCTTCACACGTCGCTTCTGCTTTTATACCCTACTGATTTGGTATAGACTGATCAATTTTTAAAAATAATTATGGAGTTTGACATCAGGACTCAACTCAGTTCATTCTAGAAACAGATGTTGAGTGAATCATTGGGCAGGGAATCATTGTGGTGATGAAAGGACCCTGTGTGCTCTGAAATAACAGAAGCAGGGTCTCAGCACTCTTCACAGAAGAGGGATTCACAGGCACAGAACCAGCTGGGCATCCAGTGTTATTCCTACCTGAAAGTGTCTCCAATACGGTCCCAAAAATAAAGGAAGTTCTCATGATCCAGGACCATTAGGTCTCCTGTATTGAAGTAAACATCTCCCTTCTTAAAAACATCAAAGAGCAGCTTGCTTTTCGTGTGCCGGTAAGAGCCAGCATAGCCAAAGAAAGGATTCTTCGTATTCACATGAGAAATGAGAAGCCCCGGTTCTCCTGCAAGAGAAAAGACCATTTTTGCAGCCATCTGATCTAACAATTATCATCACAGACACTGTACAGGTATCTAAGTTACATAAGACAAGCCTAGCTATTATAGGTTCTCATTTTCCTTTGTGTTTGTTCCCAACCTACTTAATGGCGTTTATTCTTGGTGGCTACATCTAGAATATCCTTTCAAAAATGACTTTGCAAATATCAATGACAAAAGAATTGTATGCAAAGGAAATGTGAATTTTATTTCTTTTATACTCTGGGTTGACAGACTAAGGGTAATGTCTCCTGGAATTGCACAGATTTTAACCCAGGGAATAGCACACATATTTAACCCAGAACAAATAACTCAATAATTTTAATAAGCTAATAATAGCAGTATGAATTAGTGACCATGCCTACTCCGCAATTATGATTGTATTTAATTGGATTAGTAATTGTTTGAAACTTGTATTACAATTCTTATTTCATTGTAAAAAAAGAACTAATGCCGAGAAGGAGGAAGTCACTTGTCAAAATCAGAAAAAGAAATAGATTGTAGAACTCAAAATGAAGCCTTTATAATTTTGGATCAAAGAATCTGTGAAATAGGCTGACCCAATTAACACAGTAGCAGAGTAGTTTAGGCCTCTAGGATGTTATTCTAGAAACACTTGACAGGGAAAGGGAGGGCATTAAAAAGATCTCCCATCTCATGACACTTAGCAGTGCCACTCACACTTAGACACTCATCTGAATCACTATTCCAGTCAAACCTATTTAATCAGAGTTGTGCTTGACAATCCAAAAGACAAGATTCCGTTTAAAATAAAGGAAAGCAACTTTCACGAAAGCAACCGTCCAGGACATTGTTTACCTCCTTCTGGATTAGCCACAGAGATGGGATGACATTTTCATAGGGATCTTAGCAAGGGCTACCCTTTACCTCTCTAGATAAAGATGCATGCTCTGCTCCCACAAAGCCCCACTGGTTCTCTTTACCATTATTTCTGTCCTCACTTGCACCCCCACCCCTACTGGTATTGTTAACCACAGTCATACTTCACATTTTATCGTAGTATCACTGGTCTTAGAGCATTGCCCATCTGTCCATCCCATTCTCATCAGAAACCCCTAAGAAAGGTCTTGGTTACGTTTTCATTTTGCCAATGCAGAAAGGGAGGCAGATAAAGTAATTTGCCCAATGTCATACGGCCATAGGAGTTATATACACATAGAAGTTAGAGCATGCATTTTAGGACCAAGTCCAGATTTCTCCAAAGCCTCACATACATTGTGTAGTCTGTCAGGCTAGATTTAAATTTGGAATAAGATTTTTTTTTTTTTTTTTTAAAAAAAAACCTTTTATCTTCCTCATAATTTATACTGTTTTTTTTCTACTTCTCAAGATGTAAATAATAGTTTTTTTTTCCTCTGCAAATTATTGTAAATGCTTGTATAGGTTATGGTGTATTCATGTCTTTCCTGATGAGGCATAGTTTACACAATGATACAATGTTAGAGTATAAAATAAAATGCAATAGCTCATCATGAGGGTTCTAAAACGGAGTCAGTCAGTCAGCATTTTTAGAAATGCTTAAATTACGTAAGCACAATCCCAAGATTCAAGTTCCAGTTTCAGATCTCAAGTTAATTATGAACACACATGCTACAAAAGACCTCAAGTTCTCCAAATCTTCCCAAATTAACCTTTTTCTCTTGGACTGTGTCTGTGGAATTGAATGAAAAAACATTTGAAAGTGTTTATTTTATTATTTCTTATTAAGTGTGTGTGTGTGTGTGTGTGTGTGTGTGTGTGTGTGTGTGTGTGTGTGTGTGTGTGTACCAGTGCAATTGAGTACAGGTGCCCTCATAGGTCCGAGGCTCAGATCTCCTGGAGCTGAAATTACAGGCAGTTAATTACTGAAATTACTGCCTGACACGGAAGCTGGGAATTGAACTCAGGTCCTTTGCAAGAACAATACCTCTGTTTGTGTCATCTCTGCAGCCACCAAGACACTGATTTGATATGGAGAGGCTTGGGAGATTATTTTTTAAATGAATAATACTTCCTTTTGCAATCTCTCCAGTACCAATAAGAGAAAAATAACAACAAGAACAACAATGAAGCAGGTTTACAACTTGTATTATCACATTGAAGTAAAGATCTAGGAAGTCACCTCTGGTATTGCCTAATACTGGAATTTGGGTCCCAATGACACAGAATCTGTAAACATTTCTAAGGGTGCACCTATACATTCTATTTTCAATGACGATATGGAGTTAATGGAGACCTTTCTTTCATCAAAATTTCTAAACTGAAACTTTTAGATAGTCTACCTGGAGAGAGGAATAATTAAGAGAAGAAAGCAAGAAGCCACAATGTACACATTGTACACACCATTTAATTGTCAACCTGAGCCTCATGAAATAAATAATCTCACCTCTGATTTATATAAGAAAGAGATGAGTCTCAGATTGGCTAATGTATCCACAGTTTCTAAGTGTCAAAACTCAAATTTCTCCTTGTAACTAGGTTGGCAAATTAATTTAATAGTATTGATAATATGTGATGTAGACATTTGCTGTGATTACCGTTGGGGGATATTGATCAACTGTGAACGCCAATGTTTGCATTTGTGTTGATTAAATAAAATTAACTTTGGATCAGGAGGCTGAGTTAGCAACTAGTTGACAGAAAGTAATCACAGAGCCTCAGAGGGCATCTGGGAGAGATAGAGAGACACAGGAAGTAGTAGGTTGGGGTTTGGAGTGGCACAGGTTTTTCTGTTTTAGCAAAGCAGAAGCACAGGTCTTTCAGGGACACCAGCAAGGAGACAGGGTTAGTTAGTTGCTACCCAGCCTCTCTGAGCTCACAGGTTTTCACCGCAGCCTTGGAATCTCAAGTCTTATTTAATAAACAGCGTGACAGAGATTTAGTTAAAGCTACCTTTAGTGGCAGTGACAGGGTTGGTGCCTGTGAGAGCAGAATTCCCACCAGGCTGTGGCCTGAGTGGCCCAGCTGCTGCTAGAGATGCAGGACCATAACTACAGAGTTGCAACTGCTGGCTGAAATAGCATTTGGTTAAGGCACAGCCACTGTGCCAAAATTAAAACCACAGATTACAAACTTAGAGGTGTACATAAAGATAAATACAAGCCAAAGAGATACCGCTTAACCATGTAACAATTTGGCACTTAACCTAATTAGGGCCCAACAGCCAGCAGTTAAGCCAGTCCACCTGATTACCATTCAAGGTAAATCACATTCCGAACAGTCCTCTCCTCCCTGAACTCAGCACCAGTTACATTGGATTCAGGTTCTTTGCTTAAGACGACGTCTTCATAATTCCTCTTACCTTTTCTCACACGGTGACACCAGCCTTGTTCGTTCCTCACTGGTTCGTCTTTCTGGAAGTCATACTCTATCAACTCAAAAGCAAAAATAAGCTGCAAACCCAAACAGAAGCAACAATACATGAACATTTGGCCATTTGTGCAGCAACAGGAAGTGCTAGTGGATTCCATGCTCAGGTTAAACAATGAAATCGAACAGACCAAAAACCGAACAAAGATTTGAAAATTGAAAAGGAAGGCATTGGTGAGCAGGTCTCCTTGCTTGGCATTCATTTTCGTTTCCTTTAGGCTCTGTTTTTGCCTCAGTGCTGCTCGGTTTCCCCCACAAGGGAATGGAATCAAGCTGCAGAAGCTACCCAGCACTGATTTCCTCTTTCTTCTAACCATGGGCAGAGGACCTGTCTCTAAGTCTTTGAAAACATCTTCTCCAAAGAGACATTTTCAATAAAACTATGATCTGAGCTTTGAATTATCAGGATTTTTGTTGGTGCTGGAGTTTTCCTCAAAGCCTGCAGAAAAGTGGCCAACTTCCTGAAAGCTAGAATAACTTGGCAACTGTTCAGCTTTCCTCTGGGCCTTTCAAGTTAACTCCTCCAGACTAACATATAGAAGTTTGCCTATCATTGTGGCATGAGAAGATGTGTTTGGTAGAATGTCCTGCTCACTCAAAAACCAGGCTAACTGGATGTCCATCTCCCTCATCTTCAGTGGGTCCCAGCTGTCCTACCTATGACGGTCACACCACAGTGTCATGCTGACACACCCATTCTATCAAGTCTGACCTGATAGTGAACTAAAAATTGTTCAGTCCAATTCCCTCATTTTATCTATAAAAAAGGGAGGTTTTACTGGCCGTTTAAACATGTAACCTTATTAGATGGAATTAGGAAACATATTTAACATGGAGGTGATGAAACAGAGTAAGATAAAAACAACAAGAGCAGGTAAATGAGGAGGGTGAGAGGGGAGTGAGGATAAAAATGCACAATAAGAACAAGTAAATTAAAAAATACATAGAGTCGCTAAGATAAATATGATATCTAAGTATAAGTAAAACCTATCTAGTGTTCAGTCTTAGAAAAAACAGCATGTAATCAGATCTACAATTCACCATCCAATAGTTTTTTTTTAATTATATTTAGTTATTTACTGTGAGTGTGTGTGTTTGTATATGTGTATGGGCATATGTGTGCCATCGTGAGGGATGTGTGTGTGTGTGTGTGTGTGTGTGTGTGTGTGTGTGTGTAGGTCAGAGGACAATTTTTGGGAGTTGGATTTTACCCTCTGCTGTGTGGTGCCCAGAATAGACACTTTTATCCAATGATTTTGCCCACCACCCCACAATTCATCATTTTAATTCAGTTTAAGTGACAACATCTAAGATCAATTAAGCACTTAGTCTAAGGCAAATACAGTGCTAAGATCGGAGAACTCTAAAGAGCTCTCTGTAAGTGTTGGAACACTGTGTGAGGGGTTGACTAATGTCATCCCATTTGAAGACTAGGGACAATCCAGGAGGCTGCAAGGAAAATATATTATTCTTCATTACATAAATAGTAACATACATTTATATCACGCTGGTATTTGTCACTTTGATAACATGATATTGTTATACTTGCCTAATGGCTGGTGGCAAGATTCCAGACACTCAGTCTAGCCTCTATTACATTTTTGCAACAGGAAAAGAGAGAGCCCTTCCCATCACTCATCCTTTTCTGTCTTATTTTGTATTTTGAACCACTTTCCCCACAACTTCAGATATCAGTTTTGGTGTTACTTCTTTTCAATTAATTTGGTAACAGTGTACACCGGTGAGAGTCACTGCAGAATGAATTGCTATAAGTGAGTCTATTATGAGATGAATAGGAATTGGTGGCAGATCTTTGAAAAGCAGGCTGGATCAAAGTATAAATGTTCAGCTAGAAGCATCTCTCTTCTCCTTCCTGTCTTTAAGAGGCTCCCATGAGATTTCAGCAATGGCTTTGCTATCGTAATGCAAATGAGAATAGTCACCACACTTTAAAATCCCAAGTTAAATCATATGCACGTGTCTCTGTGTACTTGTCCAGAGCACAGCTGTACGAGGTGCTGTTCACAACAATATTGCTAAGTGTTTTTCTCCAAATGGATCTATCTACAGTTACATGATTGTGCAATGGATCCAGGAGTCCCCACTATACCTACATGCCTTTTTATATTCAGATATATATGTTGTGAAGGAACCAAAAACACCATTTCCTCAATTAATACATGAGAAACCTTTAACCTGGAGAAAAGCATCCAGGTTATGAAGTCCAATAGCAGCAGAGCTGACACTGGAACTGGGCCATGTGTCTGCAAATTTTGCCTTGAAAATGATGCCAGGCCCCCACCCTCAACTTCTTATTCATTGTCTCTAAGAGCTTGCAATGCTGTTCTTGTGAGGAATTCGTTCATTTGCTCATGTTTAGGCCAACTAGATAGTAACAAGGGGAATTTTAAATGGGGTCTCCAAGCCATGCCCACAATGGCATGGCTGGGCTTTGGGTCGCACAGTTGCTGCATCCCTAGAGCAGGAGGAAATGGAGGTTAGCTGTCCCAGCTGCAGAGCTGTTCTGATTCTAGAAGAGAAGACACATAGCCCTGCCCTTGATACTCTGCTGGGTTCTGCCCGTGAGCTGTTCCCTTGGCTGGATTTAGACTGTCCTTTCGCTGTGATAAGCTGTAACCTTGAATGTAACAGCCTCCAGCGAGCTGATTCCTTGTTTGCTTCAATCCCAAGGGTGATCTAGGAGGCTCCTGGAATTGCAAGTGATGCCAGAAATGAAGGTAGAATTGTAGTGAATGTGCTCTGACTTTGCCTTTGGTGAACTTTGCTCATGGTGGAGAGATGATTATAGATTACATTGAAGATGCTTAAACAGCTTGTAAAAATGTTAGGAAATAAGCTTTTTAACAATCCCACATTTTATCTTCCTGGTATATTCTTGGATTTACTGCTATGGAAGCAATACCACCTATAATTCTCTGCTATCTCCTGTATGTACTGGTAAGACATACATTTTATATCTTCAGATTTTGTTTCCATTCCATTTAGAGGCATAATGTGGATCTATTTAATCTTCTGTATTTAAATGGAATTAATGCTGGCCATCAAACTTTTTAAATTGAAAGTGACTTCTTCTAAGTTTTGTTTTATTTTCAGACTAACCTGATATTTTCATTCAATGTATTATTTTTTTTTTCAGAGAAGTACAGCATTTTATTACATATCTATCTTATTCTTTTTGGGGGGGCAATGGTTTGAGACAGGGTTTCTCTGTGTATCTTTGGAGTCTTTCCTGGAATTCACTCTGTAGCCCAGGCTGGCCTGGAACTCACAGAGATCCACTTGCCTTTGCCTCCTGAGTGCTGGGTTTAAAGGCGTGCGCCACTACTGCTGGGCTATTCTCCATGTGTAAAAGTTTTAGGAACTTCCTTTGTTGCCCTTATACAGGAAGAACAATTTAGCCTTTACTAAAATCCCTAGGTGAAGGATGAAGATATTTATTTTCATTTTATTTTTTTCTTTCTTTTTCTTTTTTTTTCTTCTTCTTTTTTTGGTCTGGACTTTGGCATTCTGTTTGCATTTTTGAGAGATTCCTGCACCATGCCCCATCATCAACCAAGCTATGCTTTGTATAACCCATACTTTTTTTTGGCCTAAGTTCTTTATTCATTTCACTAATGTATATGCTCCTAGTTGTTATTCTGTACCATACTTCATTTCCTGGAACATATCATGCTCTTTTCTTCTAGTATAGCTAAGAGAATTATTTTTCTCTATGAACAGTTCTTTTCTGCAAGAACAACTAAGCACATGCCAAGAACTGTCTGTATTTAAGAACTATCTTTTAATTATGTGCATATTTTTTTCAAGATTTATTTATTTATTATGTATATAAGTTTCCTCCTTCATGTATGCCTGCAGGCCAGAAGAAGGCACCAGATCTCATTACAGATGGTTGTGAGCCAACATGTGATTGCTGGGAATTGAACTTAAAACCTCAGGAAGAGCAGCCAGTGCTCTTAACCTCTGAGCCACCTCACCAGCCCTGTGCACACAACTCTTTAATCTTATTCATCTTCTCACCAGCAATGTTTACAATCTGTTTTGTTTTTACACTTTTTATGTGATATTCATTTCTATTATATGTTCATTTTTCTTCATTTATTTCTTTGAGATGAACATGTTCAGTTTCTAACTCCTTTGCTGATCTGTATTGTCCTTGAAACCTCCTCTTATCTGAGCTCTCGTTTTTTAAGAGAAGCCTGTTATGATCTTTTCCTGAGTTTATGGGAAAAATGTTTTGTAAGCATTTCTTGGTCACTTTGAAGCAAGTGATGTGATTTGTATTTCATTAGCTGCCCTTTCTCTATACTTAGAGATTCCTTTGTTTCAATTTCACATTTAGATTTCACATTTAGACTGTACAAATTATTTCCCCAGATTAGCATCGGAAAGGTGAGGGCTGCTTATAACTTTGAGTTTGTTTCACACATATATTGTTTCCAGACTTCTATTTTGCTCACATTAGGCCTGTTTATTGGATGCCATCTCTTTAAAGAGCATGGCTCGCAGCTGTAAGCATATTGGGGTTATAGGAAGGAAACATTGCTGTGTGCCTCTGCCTTCACTTGTAACATTATCTCTCTCATTGGAAGCTGATCCTCTCTAGTAAACTTTCACAGTTTTGTTTGTTTGTTTGTTTTTGAGAGAGGGTCTCTCTACAGGAACCAGACTGTGATGGAACTCCCTATGTAGATCAGGCTGGCCTCAAACTTACAGAGACCTGCCTGCCTCTGCCCCCAAATGCTCGGATTAAACGCTTGCACCACCATGCCTGGCAAGGTTTCAAGTTTTAAGAGAAATACTTAAAAGTCTCCTTGCCTAATTATGTAATAATCATTGAATTTTTTTATTACTTGCACTATAAGCAGACAGCATGTAGCTGAAATAATAAAAAGGCAAACTAGAATCCAAACAGTATCAGGTACAACTTTTTTTAAAAAAAAAATTCATACTATGAACAACTGAACTAAAATGAATTGAAAATCAGTATTTTTCCAAAAAAATGGGGTCAATGTGATGTTTTGTATTACTGACATTACAGTGGTCTCTCAGGAGGAAACTATAATGAACTCAAGCCAGCAACATAAAGCACACGTCATCTTCATTATACTCTTGAGGTCTTCATATGAATGCAAAATTTAATTTCCTAAGTGGTCCAGTAATTTCTTTTAATGTTTCCCAAGTGCTTGAAAAGAAAGAGTATTATACATTTAATAGATACAGGCCCCACATACATCACTTAGTTTTATGTAGCTCGTTTATTGTATTATTCAAATATCCTACATTATTGCAGTTTTATTTATTTCTCCTTGAAGTGTTTTTTGAACAAATTTCTCTTCACAAGTTTTGAGGTTGTTTTAACAAAAATTTCACCTTTCTTAAGAATGTTTTTTATCTTTATTTATGTGTATGTGTACATGAGCTTGTGAGTGAATGTCCTGGGTGTGTAGAGCCTGAAGGGGCCAGAAGAGGGCATTTGATCTCACGGAGCTGGAGTTAGAGGTAGCTGTGAGCAGCTGTGTGAAGGTGCTCAGGTTCTCTACCCTCTAACTGTTGTGGTAGCTTTCCAGACCTTGAATTTACTTTTATTATCTTTGTTTTTGTTTTTTCAAGACAGGGTTTCTCCATGCAGTTTTGGTTCCTGTCCTGGATCTCGATCTGTAGCAAGAATTATTATTGCTGTGGAGTAGGAGCTTTTATAACTTATATGGTATAAACGCTAAGAGATAAGAAGTAGTGGGGAAAAAAAAAACTAAAGGAGAATGAAAAAAGAATTGCTCAGGACTTGGGCGTGCTTTACTTTTACACATTAAACTTGAAACCTGAACCGAAGTAAATGGTTATCCTCACGCTGCCGAGGGAGCTCATGGCAGAGGACTGGAGTCTTTGCAGAACCCACAGCATCACACTTCTCTCACAGCCACTGTTAACCTTTGCAGATGATCTCAGCTTCAAAAACATGATAAAATTTTTCACAATGTAGACGTTTAAGCTCCAGACAAGAGTTTGTAGACCTCAATGTATTTCCTCTAGAGAAAGTGCTATATTTACCTTGTAAAAGAAGTTCGTTCTCCCAACGGATCCAATCTTCCCCGTGTGATTCATGAAACATATGTTTCCTTCAGTGGCACCATAAAATTCGCACATTTTAATATTTCCAAATCTGTCTAAAAACTGTCTCCACACATCACTTCGCATACCGTTTCCAACTGCCAAACGCACCTGATGGTCCCTTTCCCCTTCTCTCTGTTAGAAGAAAAGATTTCACATGTAAATAACTCCAGTTTGCGCCTCTCCCCCTTTTTTTTACTGTTATTTATACAACTGATCTAAAAGTAAATGGGGCATGCGCAATAGCAGAAGAGACGCAAACACAAGAAAACAACAGCGTTCTGCTGGAGATTCACCCTGCACTAATTGCAATTCTGTGACACCGTAGTTATGGACAAGAGCAGTTAACTCTTGAGTTATCTGATAAATCACTTATGAGTACATATCAACTTTTGGAAGTGCCTCAATAAAATGGCTTGATCTCTCCTTAGAATCTGAACCTTCGGGTGCCAAGTACCATACATCTGTAGTTAGATTTTAATGCCTTTCTGAAATATTATTAAAGCATCGATTTTTAAAGGATGGGGCCTGTGAAAGGACAGCTAAGAATGTGTGGGCTGCCATAAAACTGTCGCAGAGAAAAATGAATATACCTGCAGGACAGTTAAAAAAAAAACCTGAAAAAATAATAAATTTACAGAAATTTCTAAAAGGGATGGGAGACTATCGAGCTATGTACTCAAGGTCACAAAATTTAAAAATAATAAATATCAAGATGGTGCTTGAACATTTTCTGGTAAAGTAAGTGGGAAGAAACAAAAAGAGAATGGGAAAGAGAGAAAGGGGAGAGAGAGAGAGAGAAAGAGAGAGAGAGAGAGACAGAGAGACAGAGAGACAGAGAGACAGAGAGACACAGAGAGAACATTCTTAAAGAGGCAGTGGAAAATTTTTTGGCTATTTTATATCCTAAGAATGTATTGTTTAAAACTTTAAAAATGAAATTTGTCTTCAGAAAACCAAAAACTACACATGAGCTGGAGCTGGAGAGATGGCTCAGTGGTTAAGAGCATCTGCTGCTCTCGTAGGGCACCCAAGTTCAGCAGCAGAGGAACTGAGTTCAGGTCGCAGTACCTATTCCAGGCTCACAATGCCTTGTGACTTCAGCTCCAGGGGTTCTGAAGACACCTACACACATGAAGCATACTCACACAGAAACATACACATGCACATCAATAAGACAATGTTTATAAAGCTATGTAAACCTAAACATGTATCTTTAGTAGAGTGGTACTAGATGAAACACAAAGGATGCTCCCAACATAAAAAAAAAAAATAGTATCATAGATAGAGCAACAAGGAAACAAACAGCAGAAAAGGAATGAAAGGGTCTAGAAAATGGAGTATGTACATGTATGAGTGAGTGAGTACTTACTCTTGAATGTTGGTAATGCTTATCGTGTATTCCGTGAGCACAGTCAGAGCAGATAACTAGAGCATTCAAGGTATCGACTGAATTAAAGTTTGATAAAATCAGTGCACTGTCAATTAAGTGGGAAAATACTATCTTATGACAGCATGTGACAAATTCAGGATGAATATTGTACTGTTAAAAGTGCTTAAATTTCTCATAAGTGTGTGTACGTGTGTGTGTGTGTGTGTGTGTGTGTGTGTGTGTGCATGTGCACTTCTAAATGATTCTCAATGATAATTGAGAATCTAAACATCCAAACATATCCACTTCTGAGAGCAACATATGGCAAAATTATGTTCATGAGAAATATAATGTTATTATTGCACAGGCCCTTGAGATACTGGAAGTTACCAGGAACGTTAATTCACAATTTAGTTTCCTTTATTCAAATCACTAACACAGAATTATGTCGACATCGAGCTTTGACAAGCTACAGCCTTCAAGGAGCACAAGTGGCCACCTGTGTGTTTCTGATGAAGCACAGTTGTGACTGATTACTGGGAGATCATCTATGGTAGATGTAGATGAGATTGTGAATATAGATTGTCTATCTAGAAAAGCAATACGAGTTCTTTTGTAATCTTTTCTATGGTATTTTCTCTGACATTTATGTACTTCTTTCATGTATGATCGTTTGTGGACACACTTGGCAAAGTCTCAAAAGTCCATGCTTCATTTTATTAAGACTAGCCTGGTGGTTTCGGTAATGAAAGGCTACAAAACATGAGCTTCTGATGTAGTTTTTCTCTTAAGATTTCTGAAAAAAAAGCATACAGAATCCTTTGCAACTTTACTGCTGGCTATTTACACACACACACACACACACACACACACACACACACACACACACAGAGAGAGAGAGAGAGAGAGAGAGAGAGAGAGAGAGAGAGAGAGAGAATGAGAGGCAGAGATAAATAAATGGTGGATGGGTAGATAGATGACAGATAGATGGATGGATGGATGGATGGATGGATGGATGGATGGATGGATGGATATATGGATGGATATATGGATGGATGGATATATGGATAGATAGATAGATAATAGGTAGATACGTAGATATATAGATACATAGATAAGCCATTATCTAAACCACAGAAAATACTTGTTTACTCTTCGGCCATTTAAAGTGCCTTATACCAGTTAAACGGATTTCTGACACAGTCAGAACTTCTATCACAGATGTCCCATGGGCTTAGTTCTCAGTAGGTATGTCCATCTGGGTCTTGGTACAAAGAACCCCACTGGTGTGATGACATCCATGAAGGAGGGAGTCACACCAATATTGAAGTTCTGGCTTTTTTAAAAAACCTCTTTGTCTGTCTGGTGTGGCAGGAACTGAAAGGAAGTTACCTGCTACCAGATCATCAATTCCTTCCCAGAAATAGTCTCCTTCTTCCAGAACACAGACTCCATCCAACTTTGTGAAACCGTAACACAACTGGGCCAAAGACCCTCTTTTGATGCCTGCAGAAACTGAAACTCCACAGTTTCTCTTTAAGTGCAGAAAACTCTATGCAAATTTAAGTTTTAAGGAAATGAGAATGTTTGTTGCTACACATAGAGGCAGAAGGGAGATACTGAAAGCAAAACCAAATGACTACTCCCCACAGCACAGCGTGGCAAGCTGTTTACTGCAGAAAGCAGGGTTCATCCTGAAATGATCATCTAGGGCTCAAACAGCAGATGGTAGTTGTTTTGGTTCTTCCATTCTGATTCTAGGTAAGACCTCTTGGTTCTAAAGCCTATTGATAATCATGCATGCATGCATATGGCTGCCACACGCCTATGCCTCTTTAAGAACAATCATGTATTCTGACAGTTGACTTTCCTTTCAAGCACTACAATAATACCTTGAAATAGTATAGCACAGGTGTCAAGTTAGTTAGGTTTACAGAATGGGGGCAAAACTGAGTATCCCACAGACCATGGTTTGCAACCTTGTGTACATATTTGTATTTAAAAAGATAAGAAGAAGAGAGGATAATGAAACTGTAGTGGGTAGCCATTCCAACCTTGATCTGGAAGTTCCAACCCCCATTGAGGCTTCGGTAACTGTCACGCCTACAAGGCAGGGCCAAGAGAGGACCTTGAAGACCTGAGATCCGGATGTGTCATCTCTTTTGTTTCCTGGACCCTGGATGCTGGAGGTAGACTGAGCAGAGTTCTCCAGAGAACACCGCCGGACCGCACTGCATCTTTCTCAGACCCTGCAACCTACCTACCCTTCATTTGTAAGTCACGCCACTAAATAAACCTTCCTTTTAACTACGTGGAGTGGCCTTAATAATTTCACCAATATGAAACCACATGTTCTTTAAATAAATCCAGATTTGCTGATAAAGGTATACAGATGGCTTCTAACAAGAGGAGGAGGTTGGGTAGACAGGAAATCCTTTGATAAACTCCAAACTCATGAACAAAAGCATCTTGTAGATCAGGCTATCCAAGTTCACATTCTTTTCGGTGTTCATCTGTCCCGTGCAATCCCACATTCTTAATAAAGTTTTATTTGGGGTTCCCGTCTCATCTCACTGGGATTGGAGATAATTAGTGGAAGAAGAAGTAGTGTTAATATTTTAACCAGGAAAGAGATGTCCCAGTCCACCATCCTTGGCAGATATACTGAGTGAGGGAATGCAGGTCAGGAGGTGTAGTTCTGAGGGATGGCTCCACTGGCCCTCCTCAGGAAGGGTAGCATGCTCCATAACATTTCTAGAAAGGGGTTCATGTTGATTTGATTAAAGGAAAAAATCATGTCTTTGCTATCAAGAATATTTAGGAAGTCAGAAAGTTTTTTCCTTCTTTTTTTAGATATTTCAAAAGATAAATGACACCGGAACAAAGACAGGGACAGAAAAAGCAAATAAGTCACAGAGACACACACCAGGCTCTGACAAATCTCTGCGCTTACCTATTTCTCATGCAGTGGCAACTGATCAAAAGGTTGTCAGATCCACTGCCTTTGGGGTTGGGATGATGAATACAAATTAAGTTTCCTTTCAATGCTAAAAACATTTACAGGAATATACCTAATATTATCATTGATTCAAAAGAAAAATAGAAAATTATAATTGGTGTCATTTTGAAAGCCCATCGCTTTAAAGCATTGCCTACTTTAAATTTGGAGTTATTTTTCTCTTAGCATCACATGTATCTAATTTTATAATAAAATTTCATAATTGAATTAGCCTGAACTTGAAGTGCACGGATCTGTCCTGTCCTGCTACAGAACAAAGCACATGATTAACTCTTTACCGGGTAGTCTGTCTCATTTTCTTGAACTTTTATATAAATTTCATCTTGTATACTGTAAGCACCTCTGTGTCATTGACAGATCATGTTCTGAAGGACTGTGGAGTGAAAACAAAGAAAACAAAATTGCCCTCTCCTCCCCTCCCCTACCCAGCATGTATTCTATCTGAAATCTTTAGCATCTCCAGTACTGGTCTCTCTTACCTGAGGCTGTTTGCATAGATAACGGCAGAGTTCTCCAATGTACTGAAACACAGTCACATTGTACTTCTTGCAATCATTCCAAAATTGGCTTGCAGAGAATTTCTTCTTTAATACACATGTAGCACCTATGAGAAGAGGTAAAAGTAGGCACTAACTACCATGAAACACAAATGATACTGCTGTCTTAACAGGTTCACTCACTTCCAGGGCTTTCACACCTCACCCTCAGTCATGGATAGCAAGTTTATTTGGAAATATTACCTCTACAGTCCAATAACCTTTCAGTGTAGTCATGTGGTAACTATGAGTTTCGACCGAAAATGTGCTTTTTGCAATTTGTGGATTGGAAGCACCTTCAAAATCAGTAGGAATTATATAGATACTACCATTAGCATTGGAATTACATGTAGACTACCACAAGCATGGAATTACATGTAGACTACCACAAGCATGGAATTGCCTGTAGACTACCCCAAGCATGGAATTACCTATAGACTACTACAAGCATGGAATTACCTATAGACTACTACAAGCATGGAATTACCTATAGACTACCACAAACATTGGAAGTTTATGTATACTACCACAAGTGTTGGTGGAAGTACATGTATACTACCACAAGTACTGGGAGAGCCATCCATCCTTCTCAGAGATGAATTATATTGACTCATTTTATCCTTGCACAAAAGTGTGCAGTTTGTTCTAAAGATGTTAAAGCAGATTTATCATACCCTGAAGTCAAGATTTAAAAAGCTATGCTAAAATTCCACCAGCAAAAGTTCATCAATGCATATAGTATCTAGTTTTAATGATATATTTTAACATGGTGTCCTATTTTTACTTGGGGTATAATTTATGTACCAAATAATTCACAATTTAATGCTTACAAGCCAGTGTGTTTTCATATAGTCACAAAGGTGACATCACTGTCATCACCTAATTCTAGGACATTGGTTTTTATTACCCCAAAGGAAACTTACCACCTTAGCAGTCATTCCAATTTCCAACACCCCCTACCCTTAACAGTCATTTGTGTACATCTATCTCAAAAGTTGTTTACTATGGACTATTGTGACATATTGTGTGTGACTCATTTACTATAAAATGTGATTTGGGTTTGTTTATCTTGTACCATGTATCAATACTTCATCCTCTTTATGTTTGAATATATCAGTGGATATGTAATATTTTATTTGTAATTCATCATGAATATGTACTTGGGTTGCTTCTGTTTTGGCTGTCAGCAGGCACTCATGATCAAGTGTGACTGCATGTTTTCAGTTCCCTTGGACATGTATCCATGAGTAAAATCATTTGATCACATGACTACCCCATGTTTTGTTGGCTCTGAAATCTAACACATGCACCCTCACAGTGGCTGGAGTCTTGCCCCAAAATCTGCCCCTGGTTCTTCAAGAAGTAGTGCTAGGGGCAGTTAGTAAACCAGCCTAAGGCATTTGCACAGCTCAGTGCCTAAGAGAATTGGTGTGGCAGTGGGTCCCTGGGGCTCTGGCTGGCAGTGGATTACACCATGGAGGGTCTGGTACTGGGGCTTCAGGAGCAGACCTAGGTCAAATACCTCTTCCACAAAGGATCTCTCTCTCTCTCTCTCTCTCTCTCTCTCTCTCTCTCTCTCTCTGTGTGTGTGTCTGTGTGTGTGTGTGTGTGTGTGTGTGTGTGTGTGTGTCTCCCTCTCTCTGCCTCTCCGTCTTCTCCTCTCTACTCCTTCCTTCTAATAAGTTGCTTAAAATAACTTAAGGGGCAACATGGAGACGGCTCCTTCCCTTGTGGCTTGTTCAGTACGCCCTTTCTTTTTGTTTTATGAAAATCAGGTACTCTGGTCCAACACCAAGTTTCCTCAGTTCAGTTCCCACAAAGGTGATCTTTACATGTATGGATGAATGGTCACCTTGCTGTGTCTGTGGAAAAGTGACTATGATCTAACAATCCAGTTTTGACAGGAATGTATGTCTCCGTACAGATTCTTACTGATAATTTTAATGACTGATACTTATTTCCTTATTTCACACTCTGTAAAGCTACAATCGTATGTCAAGCATACACAAGCGGTAATGAATGGACGCTATTATTTCAGAGCTAGTGAATGAAACATCATCTTGCATATCTACAAATGGATTCCATAAGCCCTATCTGTATCATAAGCTCTATCACACAGTTCTTGGGTGTTTGAACAGATTGTTGGGGAGAAAAGAAACCGGCCTTAACAAGTCCTTCCCCTCACTTATCTGTGTAATTCCAACTTGTTCTTCTTGCCTGAAAGAGATGGAGTCCATTTTCCCACTGTTCATAACTAGATGCTTGTCTGAGCTTTGGCTTGTTTTGCTCATCCAAATGCTGCTGAAGTAAGCCTTGTGGTTTGGGGCTAAACAGTTATGCAGCTGACATATTTACTCCCCGTGACTGACTGCCTGGTGATCCTGGGGCTAGTCTCCTAGGGAATGAGCAACCACAAGGAAAAAGGAATCTATAAATGGCCCAAATCACATGAGCAAATGCCCAAGATTTTGACTTTTGTAGTTTAGAAATGTGCTATGTTATGAAAATGTGTCCTTGCTACAGATACTACATTGTAATTGTGAGATATGCATGCAGTTCCTCGGAATTCTATGAATACTTCTAAGTTCTAATGAATATAAGCTCTGATTAAACATTTTGATGACTTATCAAAAAGAAAAAAAAAAAAAAACTTACCCAGCTCAATACAGCCACCAATTCCAAGGAGAGCCCCTGAACTGTGATACAGAGGGAGGGTTAAATAAACAATATCATCAGCTGTGCAGCCAAAAGCCCACAGCCCGAGAGATCCCTTCAACACCTGCAAGTGACTGATCACGGCTGCTTTGGGTAGACCTGAAAGAGAGGAAGAGAAGGAAAAATTCATCCACACAGGTTCTCTGAGGGACTCTGAGTTCTCCAAGGGACTCTCATCCATGTTAAAGATCATGCAATTGATGGTCACAAAGTACAGTATCATAATTATGGAAAGGTGGGATGTAGGTGGAGAGCCAAAATTATAATTGCATAGTTTTATATCCTTTAGAAAATGGCTATTTATGTTTACCATTGTATGTGAACTAATTTTCTCATGACCATTGGGCAAGCTTTTTAAAACATGTTGTTAAGCTTAGCTTTTTAAAACATGTTGTTGTTAATTCTAGCCTCTACCAACCTATAGCTAAAAATGCTTTAAAGTAATATATGAAACATATTGAAAAAATTTCTCTACCTTGCTGTAGCCAGCTTATCTAATGGCCCTACTATATTCATTGAAAGAACTGATTTATAATTTCCCTTGTTCTGTGGCTACAGAAGTCCATGAAACCCATTCAATGGCAGAACATGGATTCCAGAGTAACTTGAATCTGTTATGCAGGGTCATGGTCACTGTTATATGTCAAATATGTGTGTGTGTGTGTGTGTGTGTAAATATGTGTGTGTGTGTGTGTGTGTGTATACATGTATATGTCCCATTACATATAGATCTATGAAAGAAAAATTATCCTGATACCAATAACACAAAGAATTGGGACAAAAATATATCAAATTATTTTAGATGCTTTGGAGGAGAACTGCAATGTGAATTGCTGTTGTAATGAAGTCTACAGTCTTTAATCTATGCAAAATAAGTTAAAATTACACAAAATCAAAGTAGAGAGTTTGCTAGAAACTAATGGAAGAAATGCTAACATCTGCAAAAATATGCCCCCAAATGAGAGGAAGCATAATAGAAATCTAAATTACATGTAAAGTAGAAGTTTTACAGAGAACAATTCCTTCAAGTAGAAATCTCACTGTGGACCATTCACTTCGTCAGGTTTAAACATGTCTTGTCATATGATCCTTTAAGAATGCAAAGTTCATAAAATATGTTGGAATGGTTCTGCTGTGGATATCGCTCTATATAAATAATACACTGATTGGCCAGTGGCCAGGCAGGAAGTATAGGTGGGACAAGGAGAGAGGAAAATTGGGGGAACAGGAAGAAGGAGGGGGAGACACTGCCAGCCACCGCCAGGACAAGCAGCATGTAAAGATGCCAGTAAGCCACGAGCCACATGGCAAGGTATAGACTTATAGAAATGGGTTAATTTAAGATATAAAAACAGTTAGCAAGAAGCCTGCCACGGCCATGCAGTTTATAAGTAACATAAGCGTCTGAGTGATTATTTTATATGTGGGTTGTGGGACTGCGGGGCTTGGTGGGACCGGGAGAGAAGCCCTCCATCAACATGGTTCCATGCATTTCATGAGCCAGTTTTCTTCTCTTTCTATCCTTCTTTCACACATAATTGTTTTCTTATGATAATATGCAGTTGTAAGTAATATATAAAATGTTTATATTTTGCATAGTGCCTTGGTACTGATGTTACAGGTATTTTCCTTATTGTTTTGGAATTTGCTAATGTTATAGAAAATTATAATGTCAGTGTAAGAAATTCAGCCTTTAAAAAAAAACCTGATAGGTTAACTCATATAACATGGTATGATCATGGTTGAACATTAGCACTTTTATGTCTTTTAAGTTATATGTCTCTATCATGGAACACAACTTGTCTTCCTGTTGATAAATATCATCACTTCAATTAATTAACTAGATTTGATCATATCCAATTCTTATTGGAGTTTAAAGAGTTTTGTTTTTCAAATGATTATCTGCACAGACCTCTATTTTGAATCTATCTCATTGTGGCTTGAAGTGTGGCTCAGTGGTAAGGGGTTTGCCCAGTCAGCATTAAAGAGCATGCAACCCTGAATTCAATCCCCAGAGTCACAAAGTTAACCAGTCTATCCCATTAACAAACTTGTTGGCATTATAAAATGCTAAGGGGATGAGGCCAAACAGGGTGTTTCCTGGATGCAGGCCTGAGAGACCTCAGGAGGCATCAAAGGAAGGGTCACAGTCCACAGAGAAATCCTACCAATCTCCATCCTGGAAAGCTCCACCCTGAAAAGTTCCACCCCTTGCCCAATAAGCTCTTTATAAGCCTTGAATCCTATTCAGTTTGTTGCTGTTTCTTCCTCTAGCAGAGGCAGCCCCCCTCCTGTTTTCTTTCCCTCCCAATAAATCTCATTGTGTGAGGTTTGTTGTGCAGTGTGACTTTGTAGTATTCCTTGGCTTCCAGCTGCTAGAAAACTTTCCATCTGAGCTGCAACGCTTACAGCTTGGCTCCTCAGAACCCAGAAAGGCTCATGAATAGGGAGTAGAAGATAAAGGTATGACCATAAATAGGCTACTGTTTGGGACGTTCTGTTTGTAAAACAATTTTAGTCATGAGCTACCCTGTCAACCCTGTAGACAGCTGAGGGTCGCCCCCCCCCAAAAAAAGAGAGGTTGAAACAGGGAGATAAGAGGAAGTGTGCAAACATTCCTAACTCACCATGCCCCCTTTAACACTTGCTAGTTTTCTTTTGGAGATTCTTTTCTGAGGCATCTGTATAGCTCACCAACTACGACAAGCAGTCAGGGGTACCCCACTCCACACACTGGTCAAGATGGAGACAAAAGAGTACCCTCGTGTTGGGGATTTAGCTCAGTGGTAGTAGGCAAGCGCTAGGCCCTGGGTTCTGTCCTCAGCTCGGTGCGGGAGGGGGATGTACCCTGCTCCACACACACAAGATCAAGATAAATACAAGTGACACAAATACAAAACACACACACACACACACACACACACACACACACACACACACACACACTCACACACACATACACACACATACACAAAGTCTAGGCCATGAAACCAACTAGTAAATAAATCCCACCCAGGCATGCTGACCTCCTTTCTACTCATGAGGTAATTTGCTCTGGGTTTTATTACCTAAACTTTTAAGGATGAACTGGCAGTCAAAAGAAACCCAACATTTAAGGAAATTCTCTAACATAAAAGAAAGCAATACAAACCACAACATAAAAAAGATGGAAAAAACAAACTAGATAAAGACATTTGAAAGATACAAGACTGTTGTTGGTTGTTTTGCTCTTTTGGAGGGCCTGCCACCCAGCTCCCAAATAAATCACATCCAGAGTCTTATACTTAATTATAAATGCCTGGCCTTAGCTTGGCATGTTTCTAGCCAGCTTTTCTTAACTTATCCTGTCTGCCTTTTGCCTCAGGGCTTTTCCCATTCTCTTACTTCTATAAATCTTACTCTTACTCCATGGCTTGCTGTGTAGCTGGGTGTCTGGCCCCTGATGTCCTCCTCCTTCTCTGGTTACTTCTTTTGTCCTCCCAGATTTCTCCTTCTATATATTCTTGCTGCCTGCCAGCCAGGCCTATCCTTTCTCCTGCCTCACTATTGGCCATTCAGTTCTATATTAGACCATCAGGTGTTTTACAGAGGTACAGTAACACAGCTTCACAGAGTTAAACAAATCCAACATAAACAAAAGCAACACACCTTAAAATAATATTCTACAACATGAGACAATAAATTATCAGGAGTGCAATAATAAGTTTCTAACAGAAGAACAGCCAAAGAACACAGGATGAGGAAATACATCTCTCAAAAAGTAAATCAAAAACTTAGAGAAGGAAAATAGAAAAATAGGAAATTAATAACTTAGTTTAAGAGGCTTAATCTTTAAAAATGGAAGGGCTCCAATGATGAACGAATGACCAAGTCACCTTCAGTGATAGGAAGAAACAATCAAAAAGGAGAGGGGTATTCTTTAATTTCAAAACCACATAGAACTGTAAAACATTAATTTCTAGACTGAAAATAGCTATTAGCTTCCCAGAAAATGACCCAAGGAGACAAATCCCCAGTGCATGTCATCAGAATGATGTGAAGTACTGGAGATTCAAAAGTAAGAAGCACAAAGACTTCTCATCATGGACATAGGAAATCCAAAGTCACAATCCTGAATAAAAAGAATTCCAAACATACATGCTGTGTATATAATTCTGTATAAATAAAACACTGATTGGCCAATGGCCAGGCAGGAAGTAGGTGGGACAAGGAGAGAGGAGAATTCTGGGAAGTGGAAGGCTGAGGGAGGGAGACACTGCCAGCCGCCGCCATGACAAGCAACATGTGAAGATGCCAGTAAGCCACGAGCCACGTGGCAAGGTATAGATTTATAGAAATAGGTTAATTTAAGATATAAGAACAGTTAGCAAGAAGCCTGCCACGGCCATACAGTTTGTAAATAATATAAGTGTCTGTGTGTTTATTTTATAAGTGGGCTATCGGACTGCCATGGCTTGGCGGACCCGGAGAGAAAACTCTCCAACAACACATACAATTCTACAAGCAGTCTTCCTTCTGTAAGGACAGAAAAAGAGATGTTTGGGGATATATAAGAATTTATAAAAAGTGCTCCTTTCCTTATGTCTGTTATTAAGATGCTGCAGAGAACAGGCCAGAGAGCAAAGAGTGAAGGAGCTGAAGCTCTGCTGAGTAGGGGACCAAGAAAAGAAAATGCTGAAGGCATTTCCAAGATGAAAAACAAATATAGGACAAGACAGCTACTGGACAGGACTGAAGGAGAAGGGTGGAACAAAGGGTGTCCAAAAATTGACTTGAAGGAATGCATGGGGCTCCTTCACTCTCTATAGCAATGTTTCCTGGTTGAGGAAGAGGTGGCATCTCAAATTAGTTCAACATAATTGTTATTTCAGGATCCATGTTGTTGGAAACCCAGTTATCTCTTTCAGTTTCTAAGGACTATCACCACAAGACTGTGCTACAGCAACAAGCCTCTCATGTCATTGACCATACCCTCACAACCTATAGGTTTTGAGCATGATATACCTAATGAGCAACACCAGGGCTAGGTAAAATTCCCTCTTCATGAGTGTTTTCTTTATTCTAATCCATGCATGATCTCTTAGTGTAATCTAAGGAAGAGTGCCCCTGGGCTTCAATAAGCTTTCATCCCCTCTCCCACACAGCACTTCAGGTAGAGTTCCTTCCTGGCACTTGACCTCCCACTGGCATCCCTAACTCTCTAGAGCTGTGTACAATCCATTCCTTCTCTTTGCTGTCTTTTGTTCTCATCCTTTATCATGTCTCACCTGCCCCACAGAGCAACCCTCCCTCTAACCACCAGTCCCTTGCAGCTTCCCATCTTGGCCTCCTGACAATAAGAAAGGGCTTACAAGACCAAAATTATGAAAAAAAAAAAAACACCAAAAGTTGGAAACTACAACACTAAATACAAAGCAGTTTTAGGTGACCAGCAAACCAGAAGAACAATTAATTCCAGATTGAGAGGAGTTTGACCTGAAAGAAAACAAACCATTATCTGGGTTCTACACAGCTTAGTTAGAAAGCGTCCACTGTTATGACACTGACCAGACAGCATTTAGTGGTTCTTAGGGTGATAGGAAGAGGAAGTGCCTGCAACATAAAGGAGTGTGTGGAGGGGTGGGGTGCAGGTAAACTAAGAATAATCAGTAGACAATGTTTGTGCATAGGTGCTAAGGGTCTGCTAAGTTACCTGTTCTCTCTAGACATAGAGAAGCATTTTTTAAAGGACTGCACATACTTTCTGCCTTTGAAGCAGAATTAAACAATAAATGTAGAGCTTTTCTCTTACATATCTAAAACCTTTCCCCAATTCTGTGCTATAGAACTGTAATATAGCAAATATAAAATGTAAAATGAGTGGTGCTTTCTCTCTCAGCCAGCTTTGCCACAGCATAAAATGCCTCAGCTTTGATCTTGAAGAGGAAATAAATGTCTGTTAGAATCTGCTCCAGTCTGTTCTCATTGGAGCAGACATTTAGAGACTGCCTTTAAGTCACCCCTGACTTGTTAAAAGAACACAACCACCAAGACTAACTGTCTAAGTTCCTTCTGCTGGATATTAAGAAAACCCCATCCAAAAGTCATTCTCTTTCAAATCGCATTGTCCAACAAAATTTATGCTGACAAACTGATACATCCTGGCATTTTTGAGTTTATTTATTCTAATCATTCAAATGTAGTTTGTTTTCTTAAGGACTAAAAAAGATAAGATGTACCAAATGATTGGCTGGTAAGTTTGTTTTTTTTTTTTTTTTGAAGTTATTGTGTAATAGGAATTTTGCTTACAACGTGGCACACATAGGTAATAGCAACATTGAAACTTGGAAACAAAATCCCAACCATCAAACTGATCACAGAGCATCTTTGGCCTGTCGTTCACGGCTCAGTGCTTCCTGAAAGTCAGAGAATCCCTGTGAATCATCAAGGTGATTTATTATTTTCCTTTGGTTATCACCATTTAACCTTTTCCCCCACTAAAGAGAGCTGAGTTCCATGAGCCTGTGTTGTTTCTTTCTCTGGATTCATCAAGTCTTGGGGACTTTCCGTGAGTCATAAGACCCGGTTATTCTGGGAAAGTTAGGAGAGCCGCCACCTGCACCAAAAGTCAAGAATAGAGAGAACTGCTTTGGAGTCCATTACCAGGTTTATAAACACAGAAGGTGAATGAAAAAAAAAAAAGAGATCTTAAGAGGAAAGGGACATGATTGCTCCTAGGCATGATGAAGAAGAAAGTTTATTATAGATCAAAGCAAGAGCGTAGGCAGGGACTGGAACATCTGGGAGATCCCAAAGTGGACATGACCAGGCAAAGCTTGGCCATGTCGGAAGAGGGGCGGGAAGAGAAGGGGAGGGAGAGGAACAAGCTGCAGCAGCTAAGAGGGCAAATGTACAAAAGGGTGGGTAACCAAAATGGCTGCATTATGTAGGGCAAATCCTCCAGGGGAAGGATAGAACAGGCCCTGGGCTGGAGAGTATAGAGGGCAAGGTATTCCAGCCATACCCCATAGCAGGTGGAAACTGAGAGCTGTTGGAAGAACCTGGCAGCCAGGTCCACTTTGATATGTTAAATAGACACGTTAGTTAACCATTTGTCCTAAGTTTGAGACTTTACACATCAGACCTAAGATTTTATTATTTTTAATATTTGTATGTGTATGTCTGTTCAGTGCCTGCAACACCAGTATTGGTGACAAAAAGGTACACACACACACACACACACACACACACACACACACAAAGAGTGAGACAGAGACTGAGAGAACATACCTGTTGTTCCAGAGGTAAAAATATAGAGGCAGGTAGACTTGAGGCTTGAGGTGACATGATGCCTTGTTGGCACTGGCTCATCGGAGGCCAGGCTCAGCTTTTCTTGGAGTGAAACTACACCTTGTGGAACGGAGTCCTTCATTCCCCAAACAGTGATGTGCTTGGGGAGGCTGGGGAGGATTTCTTCTATGCTTCCAAGTAAATCTGAAAAGCAAGTGATTAGAAATAGGTAAAAAAACCCTCTAATCTCAAATTTCATGTTGGGTTTCTTTCACGTGTTGGAACAGAGATAAAATGGAAGCAAAGTCTCCTCTCTTTCTGATTGAAAAGGCTATTTTATGCTTATGTTTGGTTTGGGAAATACTTCGTTTTGAGGCATGTCACCCTAAATACCCCTAGTCTGTCCTTGAATTTGCAATTTCCCACCTCAGTTTGCAAAATCCAGGGAATATAAGCATGAGCCACCATTCCAAGCCCTGTGTCTATTTCAACCTGAAACAACAATTCTGTCACCATCTGATTGAACAACACAAAGCAGGTTCACATTAAATGTTGATGATTTTGATAGCTTCCTGCTAAAAGACCACACTTCCCAGCTTCCTTTGTGGCCAGACCAAGTCTTTCTTGAAGAGAGGGACTATGGGGTGGTAGTAATTTCTCCCCCTGTAAGGGGCCAGATCTTATCTTTGTATGTATTTTGGCCATCTACACACTTGCCCCCTTGTTATGAACAAACATGGTCTTGGTCTCACCTGAGGTCAGATCAAGCCTCTCTTTCTTCCTACCTTCTCTTTACAGCTGTCTTAAATTATCTAGTAGATTCTATTACAAAAAATTATTATATTTTCCCATCTTTTAAATAAAACTATTTCTTAGATTCTCTTCAAATTTAAATTTAGGATACTGCAGAAGGCATGTTCTTCTAAATATAACTTGGTAGTTAATTATTCCAGGAGAACATCTGAGTGCTAAATTGCTCAACCTTAATGAAACACATTTGAGGAAATCCCTTGGCTGCTCTGGAGTGGTTTCAAGACCATGTTGAAGCCAAAGGTTAATGAATTCAGGGAGAGGCCTGTTCACTCAGCACCATGATAAGTAAAGTTGCAAACCCCTGAAGCAGAGGGGGGAAAAAGAATGCCTTCCAGAAACAGAACAAGATCCTCTATGCAGGGGAGGATGTGACAGGGACAGCTGCCAGTGGAGTGATGAACAGAGCCTCCAGCAGTGGCCTGGAGACTCAAGGCCAAGGACAGAACCAAGGTCAAACAGAAAAAAGGAACAATAAATATTGAGAGATCCAGTCTCCAGGACTGAAAAACTTTGGAGCATCGTTAGTTCAAGGGTCTGAGTGTTAAGGAATGGAAAAGCAACCAGGATACTATTTTTCAGAAACTCTTTGCTTCCAGGATTAAGAACACAGAAAGGCAATAGCTGAGATGAGGTGAGACTAAGTTATTTGAGACTTTCATTTGGCCATTAATATAAGATAAGACGTCATACTCTAAAGGAGGTCATTGATGGAGGAGAAGGGAGATATGGCAGTGGTGAGCACCTCATGAGGAAGCATTAGATATTAAGGTACTCAGCACCCAACAGTACACAAAAGAAAAAAATCAATCCTGTCTGAAAACCCTTTTTCCTGAATTTAGGGAGAACTATGCTTGTTACATTTAACTGTAATTCTGCTTTATTTTAACATTGGTCTTTGACAGTAAAATGAAAGTTTTACATTTATAGTTGGTAGGTTTTTTTCTTTATTTCTATGATATTCCATTATTTCCAAGGTGTGAATTCTCCTCTCTCCTTGTCCCACCTACTTCCTGCCTGGCCACCTACTTCCTGCCTGATCACTGGCCATCAGTGTTTTATTTATATAGAATGATATCCACAGCAAGGGACTTCTGATTGCTGTGTTTCTTATTTTAACTTGACAACTGGACTAACATCTTTGGTGGTGCTGCATGATGATACCCACTAGCATTTTGCAATCAACACCAACAAAGCCAAGGATTGCTGGCAACCACTAGAGGCTAAGTAAAGGCAAAGAAAGAGTCCTTCTTACATTTAGAAAAATGTAAGTATGTGAGTATGAAGCTGGCAAATCCTTTGCTTTAGACTGTTAGCCTCCAGAACTAAGCAAAAAATACTTCCCTTATTATAAGCTCCCAGTGTATGGCATTTTATCACAGCATCTCTAAGAAGCTAATAAACCAAGTTCTCAAAATGATGCCTAGTGTAACTGGTAATCAAAGTGAAATTAAGTAATTCTATAACTATATATACATCATAAAGAAACAAGTGACTTGGACTGGAGAGTTGGGGCTCAGAGGTTAAGAGTTATACTGCTCCTGCAGAGGACGAGTTCAGTGTCCAGCACTTACATCAGGCAGCTCACAATGGCCTGTAATCCAGCTCCTGTGGTCAGATGTCTCTTCTGGCATCTTTGGGCACCTGTACTCAAGTGCACATATCCCCACAAAGACACACGCAAATATACATACTTGAAGAATCTTTAAAAACACAGTGATTAGGAATAATACCTTTTAGTATAATAGATCTGGTTAGAATGCTCTAGAATATATGAATTTTGGCCTGTACATAAAAAGCAACTATATGTTATTTAATTATTAAAATTAAACAAACATAATCATAACTATATATTATGAAACATAATCACAAATTATATACTGTTTTGAATCTGGATTCATTGTACTATGTTACATATTTTCATGAAGAGGATGTGAACCATGAATGATTAACTGGTTGTCTCGGGAAAGCTGTCTGTCAATCACTGTTCAGTTCTATTACACTCCTGATTTGGCTTCTGTAATTCAGATTAATCATAAAGAAACAGCAACAGAAATGAGTCAAGTGTCATCCCTGTCTCTCCAGACTTTATCTGAGTCCTGATATGCCTGCCTAGAGGAGCCTTTCCTCCTACCCTACCTCCATTTTGTGGAGACTCTGCCCTTCAGTGATGACCCAGGGTCCTCTTAGCTCTTTCTAACAAACTACCTCATCCTTTCCTCCTACCTCATCTCCATTCCTTTGTGTCACCTACCAACCAACAATTATTCTCTATGGACCCCATGCCCATCACACTTGCCTAGGGTTCAGAGTGGGGAGCAACAATCAAAGAGTGGACCACCTACCGAATAAAGACTAGAACAGATATCTACACCAAAAAAAGAGAGTGTCTTAGTTAGGGTTTCTATTGCTGGGATGAAACACCATGACCAAAAAGCAAGTTGGGGAGGGAAGGGTTTATTCAGCTTACACTTCCATATCGCTGTTCATCATTGAAGGAAGTCAGGACAGGAACTCAAACGGGGCAGGATCCTGGAGGCAGGAGCTGGGGCAGAGGCCATGGAGGGGTGCTGCTTACTGGCTTGCTCAGCCTGCTTTCTATAGAACCCAGGACCACCAGCCCAGGGATGGCACCACCCACCATGGCTTGGGCCCTCCCCTGTTGATCACTAATTGAGAAAATGCCTTACAGCTGGATCTCATGGAAGCATTTCCTCAACTGAGGCACCTTCCTCTCTCAAGACTGTAGCTTGCATCAAGTTGATACACAAAACCAGCCAGGACACATAGTTTTAGAAAAGTGGCAGGATACAAAATTAACACACAAAAATTAGAAACTTGACTGTATACAAATGACAGAATGAGAAATAAATCATAGAAACAGTACCTTTCACAATGGCCTCAATCAAAAAAATAAATAAATAAAAAATAATATGCTGGGATAATGCTTATCAAGCAAATAAAGACTTGAATAGGAAAAATGTTAAGACATTGAAGAAAGAAATCAAAGAAGACACCAGAAGATGGAAAGATCTTCCATGTTTGTGTATCCATAGAATTAATATAATCAAAATGGTCATCCTACCAAAAGCAACCTACAGATTCAATGTAATTGCTAACAAAATTCCAACATAATTCTTCACAAATATTGAGAAAACAATCTCCAACTTCATATGAAAACACAAAAGACCCAGGACAGCTAAAACAATCCTGAATAATAAAAGGATGCCTGGAGGTATCACCATGCCAGATTTTGAGTTATACTACAGAGCTATATTAATTTAAAAAAAATGGTATTGGCATAAAACAGACAAAATGGTCAACTGAATTGAATTGAAAACTCAGACATAAGTCTACACACCTATGGACACCTGATTTTTGACAAAGAAGCCAAAAATACATTGGAGAGAAAACAGTATCTTCCACAAACATTTCTGTTCAAACTGGATAATTGCATGTATAAGAAAGAAAATTGTTTCATATCTATCACCCTCTAGAAAATTCAACTCTAAATGGATTAAGAATGTCAACATAATTCTAGGTACCCTAAGTCTGATAGAAGAGAAAGTGAAAAGTAGGCTTGCACTCATTGGCACAGAAAGGACTTTCTCATCAGGAAACTGACAACACAGGACACTAATATCACAGTCACTAGCAATAAATGTGACCTCATAAAGCCAAGAAACTTCTTTATGGCAAAGGACACTATCATTCCATCAAATTGGCAGCCTACAGAATGGGAAAAGATCTTTATCAATTATACATATGATAGGAGGTTAATATCTAGAATATATAAATAACCAAAAGAAAAACTTGATCAAAAAAATAAACAATCCAGTTTAAAAATGGGATATAGAACTAAGCAGAGAGTTTTTAAAAGATAAAGCACAAATGGCTGAAAAACACTTAATGAAATGTTCAAGATCTTTAGCCATCAGGGAAATGCAAATTAAAACTCCTTTGAAATTTTATCTTACCTTAGTCAGAATGGCCAAGATCATATGCCATACAACAAATGGCAGCTCATACTGGTGAGAATATTGTATAAGGAGAACACTCATTCATGGTGGGAGTGCAAACTTGTACAGCCACTGTGGAAATCAATGTTATAGTTCCTTTGAAATCTGTGAATACATCTGCCTCAAACCCAGCTATACCACTCTTGGGTATATGCCCAAAGAACTCCATATTCTCTTAGAGAAACACTTGCTTAACCATGTTCATTGCTTACCTAATTGAAAACAGCCTAGATGTCCATCACCTGATGAATGGATAATGAAAATGTGGTACATTTACACAGTGGGATATTATTCAGCTGTTAGGAAAATCAAAGTTATGAAATTTCCACTTAAAAGGCTGGAACTAGGGCAAAAGCATCCTGAGTGAGGTAACCT